TTCTTATGAGGGCACATGCCAGGCTTGTGGGCTAGATCCACAATAGGGGCAGCTGATCTATGTTTCTCTCTTATCACTCTCTCTCTCTCTCTCTCTCTCCCCACTTCCTTTCCCTGCAAAAATCAATGAAAACATATCCCCGGGTGAGGATTAAAAGGAAAAGATTTGGCAGTTTGTCCGGAAGGGTGCTGGCTGCCCAGGCACTGATTCGAGTCCGTTGCTCCGTAAATAAACTCCCTCTAATCGCGGCTCGTACTTGCAGAGGCGTCCTCCGCTTCGCTCGCTTTAAAACTCATCCCGTTCGTTGCGTTCACTTACTCAGCCACGTCCAAGCCGCCTGCAATCAGGCTGAGTGGTTTACAGTGTAAAAGAAGGCTAAAGCCCGGCCGGTGTGGCTCAGTGGTTGAGCCACTGACATCACACACTGACCTCCTAGCCCAGGAGGTCACCAGTTCGATTCCGGGTCAGGGCACATGCTGGGGGTTTGTGGGCTCGATCCCCCAGTAGGGGGCGTGCGGGAGGCAGCCCATCCATGTTTCTGTCCCTCTCCCTCTCCCTTCCCTTTCCCTAAAATCAATACAATATATTTAAAAAAAAAAATACGCGACAGATACGAGAGCAGCTGCAGGCGGAAGGCCGGGGTTCCGGGGGAGGGTGGACGCGTGGACAGGAAATTGGGCTCCTGGGGTCTCACGTTGCTGAATCCCTGGTCCCAGCACCTAAACCCACCTCCTGGATCCCAGCCCCCCCCCCCCCCCCCAGCGAATGTTCCTGCAGATTCGCGGTGCTCCTGCCTTTCCGAAGAGAAGAGCAGAGAGGTGAACAGCGACAGCACGATCAATTCTTCCTGGGCAGCGGGGGAGTGGTCTTGTTTTCCCATCATCCCACTCGCCCTTGATTCGGTCCAATGTTCCGGTTACTTGGCCCAAAAGAGGAGAAAGTGGCCGACGTCGGTGTCTGCCTCTTTCTGGTCCTGGGAGGGGGCAGTGGGGGTTCTCCATGGCTTAGCGTATTGTTTCGGGGGGCCTGCCCGCCGTCATCTGGTTTGACCCAGGAAGGGAGGCGGCAGGCGCCTCTCCGTTCCTGCAGGGACTGTCCGGCCACTCCCCCACTCCCGGCTGCTGCTTTGAAAACGGGGGACATGTGTCACCGAGTCGAGAAAAAAAACAACCTGTCTTCTCCGAGCTTGGAATGCCGGCCGTTCTCCCTGGCTCTCGTGTCCAAGCCTCCTGGGCAGCGTCTCTATTCCTGTTTACCTCCTGATTCTCATTATGGGCCCAACAGCATCCACATGGCAGATGTCAGGCTGTGAACCGTCTTTCTATCTTTCTTTTAAATACGTTTGTATTGATCTCAGAGAGGAAGGGAGAGGGAGAGAGAGAAACATCCGTGATGAGCGAGAATCATGGATCGGCTGCCTCCTGCACGCCCCCTCCTGGGGATCGAGCCCGTAACCCAGGCCTGTGCCTGGAATCGAACCCAGGTCCCTTCAGTCCCACAGGACAACGCTCTATCCGTTGAGACAAACCGGCCAGGGCATCCGTACTTATTTCTAACGCGTTTCTCTTGTTCATTTCTAAACTGTCACTTCACACATTGGGCTCATAGACAAGCGAGCCCGTGGCTTGCTGGGGGCCGTGCTAGCAACCATAGTTAAAGGTGTTCTATCATCTTTCTTTCTTTTTTTTTAAATTGATTTCAGAGAGGAAGGGAGAGGGAGAGATAAGAAGCATCGATGAGGAGAGAGAATCACTGACCGGCTGCCTCCTGGGGATGGAGCTCGCAACCGGGGCACGTGCCCCAACCTGGAATGGAACCGTGACCCCCTGGCTCACTCCTGTTGGCTCCGAGCTGACCTAGTCGCGTCCTAGCTCAGTCTCAGTGGTCAAGGCCATACGTGCGCCTGACGGCACTGTGCGTGTCAGTCCTGGACAGATCACTACCTGCAGTGGAACACGTCGGAGTACCCGGGCGTGCAGACCGTGCGCTTCCCCGACGGCCAGATCTGGAAGCCGGACATCCTTCTCTACAACAGGTGAGCCGGGCGGGAGGAGGGGCGGCGTGTGCTGGCCTGTGTGCAGCGATCAGCGATCGGCGTGTGTCTGAGCATTTGGCGGATGTGCCTGATTGCGTATCTATAACTTGGAACACTGCTCCCACTGGGCGTTGTAAATGCCACCCCCCCTTTTTTTTTTTTAACAGTTTCTTCTTTTTTTGAAATATATTTTTATTGATTTCAGAGAGGAAAGGAGAGAGAGAGAAACATCCATGACGAGAGAGAATCATGGATCGGCTGCCTCCTGCATGCCCCACACTGGGGACCAAGCCTGCAACCTGGGGATGTGCCCTTGGCTAGAATCGAACCTGGGATCCTTCAGTCCACAGGCCAATGCTCTATCCACTGAGCCAAACCGGTGAGAGCTGTAAATGGCCTTTGAGAAGGCCAGACATGAGGGCTTCGTTTGTAACCCAAAGCCGTCTGCTTGGTAGACCAGATGCCCCAAAGACAGGTATCCAGGCGGGGCCAGTTTCTAGGAGCCTTAAAATTCTTGGCTAAACTGCGTAGCAAATGCAGGGCATCTTGTTGCAATGAGGCCTAGAAAGTGACAAGGAGCTAAATATTTCTTAGAGAGAGAGAGTTCCACCCGGCCAGTGTGGCTCAGTTAGCTGAGCGCCTGCCCATGGGCCAGGAGGTCGCCAGTTTGATCCCCGGTCAGGGCACATGCCGGGGTTGCGGGCTCGACCCCCAGTAGCGGGCGTGCAGGAGGCAGCCGATGGATGATTCTCTCTCATCCTGGGTGTCTCTCTCTCCCCCTCTCCCCTCCTCTCTGAAATCGTAGAAGTATATATTCTTTAAAAAGAGGCCGCTTGCTGCAGACCGGCCGGCCGTCCTGGGGGACGGGCTGCTTCATTTCCCTGACGGATGGCGGACAAGGCGGCGCTGCCAGCCAGCTGGCCGGGCTGCCCGCGGAGAGGGCGGGTGCCAAGAGGAGCAGGGTGCCAGGTGCTGAGGCAGGAGTTTCTTGCTCGCTTCTTTCTGCGTGACCTCAGCCTGCGGGTCAAGGGTTGTTCT